ATTACTTTCAGATAGATGGCCTGTGATTGCATTCAAGTGCGATTCGCTAAATGGTTCAGTTGTTGAGCTTGGATTCTTAAAGCTTTTAGTTATTGTAACATCTGTAGACAAGTTAAATCCCGTTGGAAGTGGGATATTACACTGAACATCATTTTCAGAAACATCATACTCATCACAATCAGAAGAATTATATTCACCAGGACAGCAATTAGTTACCTTCATTTTATTTTTAAAATATAAATTCAATTCATTAGATGTTTGAACAGTTACCTTAGGTTCAGTAAGTACTCCTACTGTGACATCATCTATATAATTGATATCATTGCGTACTGTTTCCTTCTTATTTGAATTCTCAACTCGTTCGTACATACCTACATAAATTTATAATTTTTATTTAAAGTTTTAAAAACATACAGACTGCATTTTACCTGACGAGAATATTGATTTCTTAAACAAGGCAGATTTCTTCAGATCCGCACGTTTTAACCGCAACTCTTTATCGGAAACTTCAGTTTTCAACCAACTTACTATATTAGTATCTACAGACATAGTAATACCGTTCTCATCAACGTGGTTGATATTAAAAATAGTTTTAGCGCTTGACATCTTATTGATTGGATTAATAAATAAATAATAATAAATTTCAAAATATAATGAATTTATATAATTTTAATTTATATTTTCTATTTTTCGGGATTTGAGGTAACTACGTCTAATCCTCATACGTTTTCTAATTATTTTTTACAGTGGACATTAAGTGTACTACGAAAAACTATATGTTTCTCTTTCTATCCTATAGTATACATACGAGTATGTGATGAAAACGATTCCCTTTTTTTTTAATGAATAAAATCTGCTCAATAACTTAAAAATAATTTCAAATCTTATGTGTAAGGTCTTAAAGCTGATAAAATAAGGATAATTCCTTATTCTATTTAAAATTGAGCACTGAAGTCTTTTCAGTATCATGAAAAGATCTCCAAACCCTCTAATCTTTCATCAATAACTTCTATTAGAAATACTTTCAGAACTTGAAGGTATCGTTAACAAAATTTCGGTTTAATACTAGCTAACACTTATATATCTTCTAATATAGTGAGAATGATTTATGATTATTTAAATGTTAATTTTTATGTGCGCTTGGATATGTAGAGTTATCTTTAATGTAGTAAAACAGTCTCAAAGGGTTCATGTTTGTTTTTATATAATACTTACCTCGGATATCGGGACTATTTTTTCTTCGACATCATTAACGTCACTTTGTAAAATTTTCTTCTTGGTTGAGTTTCCGAGAGTTTCAAATATAGAATGCTTAACTCGCTTTTTTTTACCTACACGAAGTTATAGTTTTTATTTCAAATATTAAAAATATACAGACTGCATTTTACCTGACGAGAATATTGATTTCTTAACCAAGGCAGACTTCTTCAAATCCGTACGTTTTAACCGCAACCCTTTATCGGAAACTTCAGTTTTCAACCAACTTACTGTATTAGTATCTACAGGCATAGTAATACCGTTCTCATCCACGTGGTTGATATCAAAATTAGTTAAAGAGCTTGACATCTTCTTAAGTGAATTCTTAACGCAGACAGATTTTTATGAACGTCCTCAACGATATCAAAACGAAATGAATAAATAAAATTTTTATTAATGTCATTTTTTTCTGAAAGATAGGTTATGTTACTACGATTAAATTTTTTATTTGACATATGGTGAAAATCAAAAAATTTGACATTTAGGAGGTTTACTTGTAGACGCATTTTTGTGTTACAACTTTAAACATAATAAGAAATTCGATAAATGAATCAAGACATATTCAAATTAGTGTTACTGTATCATTAAGAACTTTAAATACTTATTGTAGTGCTTAAAATTAATATTTGAATGCATTATCTAAAATATTTTTTTTATTAAATATAAGTTTACGACAACAATTGATAATTACCTGACTTGGTTAGTTTTTTACAAATAATTAAAATAGAGCAATTTGGTAATCTTATTTGAAATGGAAAAAATTAAATAGGATTCAATCAAATAGGAAATGGATACTGTTTAGGCAACCTTGCACCATCGTAACAATAATAAAATATTGGAAAGCTGAATTTAAACGTGGACGTAAGAGTGTACGACGCCACACCAAGATGTCCCCACCTTTTTTCCTCCACGTTTCTTTAACTCTCACACCAACCACGTTGTTCATATCACCTCCAAAATTCATGCCTTTTTTCTCACTCTCCAAAAAAAATATACCTGCCACGTATGCGATTCAGCCAGAAGCTCTCTCTCTCTCTCTCTCTCTCGCTCTCTCTCTCGCTCTCTCTCTCTCTCTCTGCTGATTAACCTGTGAATAAAACTAAATCAACATATAAAAGGCTATGTACACACTGAGTGCCCAATTAATTTATGTGTGCCTCAATTTTCAGCGTGAGTTAAATATTGCTCGTCACATCTGTTCGAATTTTTAATCGCCTTTCTTGACTTTATGGATATTTGTGAATAAGTGCTGTAAGCACATGCAATGGTTAATACATTCATCGTAAGATGAATGATATCGCTTAGAGTCAGTTTAATAATAGAAGTAAATCTAACTGGTCCTACACACACCAACTAAGTGATGATAAGCATCGAAAACTTGCCTCATAAACTTTATATATATGATAATGGTAATTATGATAATGGTTTATTGGTTAGGCAAGCCAGCTCCATCGAAGAGAGCTTTTGAAGGTCGGCATTCTCTAGTTTCATCACAGCAGAATCTGTAAATATATGTGCCATATATACCTATTTTGTGTATATGTTTATTGCAGGCGGCGTGGCCTGTTAATGCACCTACGAGTGACTTTAGGTTTTTCTTATTGAGATATCATTGTCTCCTATTAAGCGGAGACAATGATGGTTTATATGAACTTAATATTCAAAAAGAAACTAGAGTAAATACTCTTTGAGACTGAGAAATATGATTATCGTTTTAATAAAGCAAGCAATGTCTTAAATGCCCTTTGCAGTGATCTCAGATAAACATTTTAGATATTGAAATGTTATTAAGACCAGATCCAGATCGCTCGTAATGTGTATTGTTACAAGCTCGTTTTATCAATAGAATTTTCTGTGTTTGCATAAATAGACGTCTAAAGTCTCCTAAATAAATAGTACTCCGTTTCAAGATAGTTTGACGTTTTGGGATAGAATAGTTTGACATGTTGGTTTAACAACCACTTCTAACATAGAATATAGAATGTACTTTTTTTAAATCGCTTATTGATGCAGCAGCCACCCGTAACATAATGAACTGACCGTGTATACTTTTAATTCTCTTGCTTTTGTGGTCTTTAACATTACATCGTCCGACTCCTTCTTAATACCTCATCTATGTAAAGTTCTAAAAGTCAGTTTTAAGTGTTTTGCAAACATTTAACAATGTCTTAATTGATTATTCATGTTTATAACATATGTATGTATATTAAATTTTATTTTAAAACTTTTAGTATAAATAAATAATACTTAACATTTATAATTATTGTTAATCATTTTTAGATTAAATGCAAATATTCTAATCGTTATCATTCCATCATTCCAATCATTATATACAACTTATTAAGATCAGCTTACAAATTTTAATAAATTTAAAAATAATTTTTTTAAAATATTTATTCATGTGAATTGATATAATGTCAATTACAGCTTTATTGCGTGTTTACGTCCATGACTCCAAAAATATTGAAAATGCCGAATGTATACTAGCTTGTGGGTCCCTTCACTTAATTGGCACCTTTGCGTTGCCACCGAAAGCCTAAATTGAAAATAAACAATTAGCAACAGTTTTTAATAAACATTTTGACTGATACTCTTATATGCAAATCAATATATCTAGAATTTGCATATGTCACCGTACAGAATCTAGCACCGCTTGAGGTTAGTTTTGTGGGCATTCATTGATTGATAATAATTTTTCGATTTAACTGAATAAGTACGGGCATAATTGCTCTCTAACAAGGCGGTTAATTAAATTTGTGGCAGTACGCATTCTAGCTTCTCAATACACTGTGAAAAATATTTTTGTTGAATATTTAAATGCGGTATCATAAGGTTTTAATTCGAAAGGCGGAATGTCTTCTGTTCGGTTAAGGTCTGTTGCAGCACAAAAGATCAATCATGGTCGCAGTGCTCCGCTCCGTTGAGAGCTAGTACCACGTTTATTCCTATTCTTATCATAAGGTAAGCAAGGATGAGTAGAAGATTTTAATGTATTATAAAAAATTGTATGTATACATCATTTTTGAATTATAAGATTCTATTCAATATTTACATAATATTATTGTGAAATAAAAAATATGTATATATCTATTATTTTCGAATTTGTTATAATAATGTTATGTTATTATAAATTATGTTAACAACTTTAATTATCTCTGAATAGTGCCTCATACTATTTGTGTATTTCAAAAAAGTTAATTTTGGTAAAAATTCGGTCATTCCAGATCATTCCAGGCCTCATGCTATTTGTGTATTTCAAAAAAGTTGATTTTCGTAAAAATTCGATTATTTCACTTCACATTCCTCTTTTTTTATTACACTCTAAAGAATAACACTAAATAGAATATACAATATAACACATATAATAAGTATTCCTCGCAATTTAGGAATAAAAATCATCATTATCTAGGGATTTTAATCGCTAAAAACTTACTGATTAAAGCATTTGTTAGGTGCAAATATATAGAAGGATGCAGTCTGTTAAACAAATCGCATAATAAAATTAAGATACGTAAATAGAAATACGTAATATTCTATAATACAGGAAAAATTGATTAACAATATTCAATTAAATAATCTTAGTGATTCTACTTACGCGTGGAACTCTCATACTCACCTTCATATATAGAGTTACAGGCAGACTTCCTTATTCCACATAAATACCATACAACATATTCTAATTAATCAAGAATTGGAATTGAATAAAATGAAATAAGATTTGGTAATACAGGAAATTTGATGGTAAGCAAATCAATTTCGATTTATGTCACTTTACGTGTGAGGGAAGTAAACAGCAGCCAATCAATGCAGAAATGATATCAATTTTTCAAATACGCAATAGAATGCCTACCACACAATCCCTACTGCACCCATGAATAATAAAGAATTAATTATATTTTTCCTAAATGAGATAATATGATACCCAATTTAATTAGATTTTTCACTATCTTAGGCCTATAAGCAATTTCATAAACGTCAGAACGTAATTACTCTTTTAAGTGGGTTTATACCAAGAGTATCAAATCATCAAAAAAAATGCGTAAATCATTTGAAAATTTTGGAAATGGCATTACGTTATAGGCTATAATTTATTTATAGCAAAAATTCAGGAATATTTTCACATCACACCTGAAGCAAAGACATAAAATTATTATAAGCTCGCCTACGGTATGGTATGTATTAATATTAGCTTAATTAACTTATCTGGAGTGTGTCCTTCCGGTGCGATTAAAAATCAAAATAATTGACTCTACTTATAGGCAAAGCATAACATTCTGTCTTTGGGAAAAGTACTACATTTTTGATTGCATAAAGACATAGAAAATTACATGGCTAAATATTCTTCGGAAAAATTTAACTTAACTTAAACATCATTCTTTACCTCAACTCTTTTTAACATTTAATTATTCAAATAGTTTGTAACTGCTATTTTAGATAGTATATTTATATATTATATATTTCATTAGTATATTATTGGTGACATGTTTCATAGACAGTAAGATCCACAGGAATTTCCAAAGTTTAGAACTCCACAAGAGAAAAGAGAGCATTTTGCTCTTTGAGCATTATTCGCAGCCTCTGCGCTACCTATGTATATAAAGAGAGAAACATGTTTTTTGTTTAAGAAAGGTGATATGTTTCATAGACAGTAAAATCCACAGCAATTTCCTAAGTTTAGAACTCCAGAAAAGAGAGCATTCTGCTCTTTGATCATTATTGGCAGCCTCTGCGCTACCTATGTATATAAAGAGAGGAACATGTTTTTTGCATAAGAAAGGTTCCTCTATCGCAACCTTTCTCTATTGCATCAAACTTGATGGTGATTTCTATCGATGAATCCTATTTAGCTAGTATCATACTGAACCCGAAAACTTAATTCAATATTTTATATACATGTTGAAAATACAAGAGTTTATCTTGTAAACAGTCTTTTATAAATAAAGACTAAGGTGTTAAAAAAAGGATGATATTAAACGACACCTATTTTAGTTTACTTTCTGCATGTACTGATTCTTTTAATGGAGAGAAAGGTTGAAAAAATATAACTAGATATCTTTCAGTTTTATTAAAAAACTTAAAATGATTTTATCAGCGCTTCTTAGGTACAGTTTTAATCTAAGTTTTTTTAATTTTTACCTTAATCACATATATTTTTTTCCGGTAGGTGGAAAGCAATAAAAGCCAAAGCATAAATCCTTTCTTAGGAGATTTCAACCGTTGACCGTTAAGATGCTAAGGTCATTCCAGTAATGTATAGACTTAGTACTTAGAAAACTGAATATATCTCAGTGAGAATGCATGAACAATAATTAACGGAGAAGTATGTCAATGAAGGTGATAAGGTTATAGTGCAAGCGCAGGTAGCAGGTTATAGGGAGTGATA